TCTCCGAGAGTGACCTCTTTCAGCAGTTCCTTTGTGAGGGAGGTGAGTCGCCCTTCTGAGGTCTCTGTTTCATTTTGCTTCATCCTTGAATCCGCCTCCTCTGTTACCAGTGTGTCTTGTTTCCACAGGGAAGCCAGCATCCCCTCATAACTGAGGACCTTGTCCGATTTCAGATCGTGGGCGAAGTGTGGGCCATGACAGTCGGTTTCAAAACCCCCGAGTTCAGTAAATTTTAACAAGAGGAACTATGCAGAGTGGCGGGTTTTTTAAGAACGGTAGGAACCCATCTCCCCATCTCTGCTGTTGCCCATATTGACTGTGTGTGATGCAGACCTGCCCACGGGTCTCAAAGGAGGTCTCACCAGATACATCACAGAGAGGGGATCACTTCTGGTGCTGGGGAGTTTAGCCACGCTGGTCAGCATCTTTGGTGACAGCCCTTGGCTTGTTCTCTGATCGCAGCTCAATTTCTCGCCCTCTCTAAAGCTCTATTTTTGTCTCTTTGTGCTTCCTAAGACGGGGGTGTAAGCGTGGCCGCCACGCGGAGGTGCGCAAAGAGCAAAGTGCGCCGTGGACACCCGCACGACCCCGTCCTTACAAGTGCGCTTCCCATCTGCTCCCTCCAGCCGCCCCGAGTCACTCCTTCCCTCCGTCCTTTCACAGGCCTTTCCCTCCCTTGTTGGTTTTGGATGCATCTCACCCCCTGTGAGTTAACCTACACGTTTCCAGTGAAATCTCATCGTGCGGTTTCCAGGTTGCCCACCCCCACGAGGGCTGGGGAGCCATTGGTCTGTCCTCACCAGGGTTTGTAGCGCCCTCCCCTCAAAGCGTCATCTGTGTATTTTAATTAATCTGCCACTTTTTCCTCCCTCCTGCTTCCGGCTCATTAATAAGGAGATTAACCAAAACCAGACCAATCCCCAGCGGAGCCTCCGCCGGGAGCGCTCTCTCCCAGCTTCCAGCCTTGCCAGAGGTCAGAACATCTTCAAGTGGCCCCACTGACTGATTTGAAGGCCTTGGGACCCGTGTTCAGAACAAAGCCAATTTGAATTAATTCTGCAATTAGGATAGAAGAACAAGCCTTGCCAGCCCTGTTACGTGGCCTTAGTTTAATGTTTCCACCACATTCCTTTCCTGTTTGTCATTCTAGTTTGCATCGATCGCCTCCCCACCTCTCTCCCTTCCCCCGAGCCCGGAACAAGATATGAGGGTTATCTGGCAGGATGTGATCTTCTGAGCCTTGGGCGTTTGTCAGAGACCATGTCAGAGCTGCAGAAATTCTCCAAAGAATTAGGTCCTCCTGGTTACATCTGGACAGTGTCCTCGTTAACCCCAGCCAGAAAGCACATTTGCCTCCGGAGGATGTGGCTGAACGAGAAATAATGAAGTCTCTTGAATTTGCATATTAAAAACTTGGCAAATTGGAAAGGTTTTCACATTTGATCTCGTGCCTCCTCCCCCGAGGAAAGCTAGAACAGAGGCTTCATGCCTTCTGTGTAAATCACCCCGATTTCCAGCCCCCGGGCCCAACCCGGGGTCTGAGGTGCTACCTTCAGTCCCTGGACAGGCACCCGCAGAGGCCTGACCTTGGAGAGCATGGAGCCCAGAGGGGACGGGAGGAAACCGAACTTCGTTTACCTTCCTGGGGAAGGAGCACTTTCGTGGGGAATCTGGGGAGGAGGGAGCAGGAGTGGTGACTCTGGAAACTGCTGAGAGCTGCCTGGAGGCTTCTTGGGTTGAGCTCTCTGGCTCCAGGCTTGGAACCCGAGCTTCCTCTAGCACGTGTGAGTGCAGGGACAAGACGGACGGACAGCACGGGGTAATCGTTAAGAGCGTCAGCTCCAGAGCCACATCTGAGTTCTGCTGCTTGTTAGCTGATTATTAAACCTCCCCATGCCTCGGTTTCCCCATCTGAAATGAGGAACGGCAGTGCCTGTCTCAGCGGGGTTGTTACCGAGATGAAAGATGCAAAGTGTGTCGGTACTGGGCACAGAGCATCTCTGTTCTTGGTGATCCCACAGGCCAGGCTAAGAATGTGCTCCGGACACGTGCCATCAGCAAGGTGCCCGAGGACGTGGCCAGGATGCGGGTCGCGGAGAGGAGCGCGGTGGTCGCAGCCCGCATCTCTCGCATGTGGCCAGCCACACCCAGCGTGCCGTGGGCTCAGGTCCTGAACCCCTCTGCTCACCAGCCTCTTCCCCATTTCCGCTGCTTCTTGACTACCTCAGACCCTCCGTGTGTGTTGTGAACGGAGCCAGAAAGGAGGAATCAGTAGTGACTCTCGTTTGAGTATTTTGAGGGATGGTGAAACCTTGCAGGAATGTGGCTCCGGGGACTGAGAAAGCGCCATATGTGGGAAAGCATTTCTAAGGGAGGGAAACAGCATCTGTAAGTTGGTCAGGATCTTGGAAAACTCTGAGCGAGGGAAATGGGCACTGGGGAGCGCGTGGGAAGGGGTCTCGCTGAGGTCTTTAACAGCTCTTTTTCCAATTAGAGCCGAGAAAAGCCTGGGGACCGTGGCCTGCTTCAGAGCCAGCGCTGTATTTTCTTTGGGAGAAGAAGGCAGAGGTGATTGGCTTCCAACCCAGGCTTGGCGGAAGCCCAGACAGAGGCCCAGGCCAGGAAGCAGTGCCTCGGCAGGTTCTGCTCGTAGTAGATGCTCACTCAGTAAATAGCCCAGCGGACTCCACCCCGGGGCGGTCCTGTGCCAGGCGTCGGGGATGCATGGATGAGAAAGACATGTCTGTGTCATCAAAGAGGAAACGCGTGGACAGTGATAACACAGTAGGTTCATGGCTTACATGGGGTCTCTGTGAACCGCGGTCACCCCGGAGAAGGAGCAGAGAAGTCTCTCTAAATGGAAAAAGTCACTGCTGTGCCTTGCCTGGCTTTACCTTTCTTTTCCGCTCCCCCCTTCAACAATGGAGCCAGTCCTCTGCTCCCTGGGGGGGGGGGGTGTGGAGAGCCAGTGGGCCGCGTCTCTGATGCCACAGAGAGCGCAGGTTCACGTTCATCCAACACGTCCAGTGTACCACTCACTGTGTGCTGGACACGATGCTCAGGGCTTTCGCAGAGGTTCCGTTATTCACCCCCTTGACAGTGACCTTGATCACGCACAAGCCACGAGATCCTTGTTGCACTTGAGAACCCAGTGTCTCCGTCAGTCTCTGCATCCTTGAGCCGTCTGACCTTACACAACTCTTATTACCGCTCCAGCTCTCAGTTTCCTTATTTGGGAAAATGAGGTGGTTCCCTGCAGCCCCCTCCAGCTTCAACATCTGTGTTTCGGCGAGTTTTATTAGCAACATTCTTGGCCTTGCTCTCGACGAAAAAGCTGAGAGCAGATTATCAAAGTGAAGTCCACAGGAAGCCGGCTGGGTTTGAATGCAGCCTTGCAAATATTTAGAAACACTTACCAGCCTACAGATGATTTATTCCCACAACGTAGTCCAAAGCATCACGACAAGTTTTGGGATTTGATGGTAAGAAACAGTTCAGATCCAGAAAAGGGTAGGACTGAGGCTAAGGGGCATCTGGGGATTTTTACAGTATTCTTTTTTTTTCGGTCCCACCCTTCCCCCACCAGTGTTGACCTGATGTCTGTGCTGAGTTTGGGTGCTTGGGACTTGAAGGGTGTGCAGAGTTTGCTTTGGGGCTCCCAGGGGTGGAGTGCTGGGAACAGTTCTCTGTCGAGAATTGAAAAACGGTAATAAGTCCGCTAAAAGCCAGTCTGCTTCTGCACGGTCGCTGAGCTGTGGCAATCCTTAGCAATGTCGGCGACAGAGTCTGCCTCCCCGCTGGCGCTGACCTCTTCCGCCGTCCTGTTCATTTCACCCACTCCTCGGCCACCGCTGCCCGGGGAAGGAGAGAAGGCGGTCTCAGGGCCCCTGCTCACTGTCCACGACCCCGGGCCCTCCCCGCCGGGGTGCAGCTGAAGTCGTAGCTCCTGCCCACCGCCCGGAACACGGCCCCCTGCCTCCCACGGCTCCGTGACCTTTGCCCCGCCCCTTGATTAACAGTGAGCTTCCACTCTTTACCTGCAAACTGTTTCACCAAGATGGGCCATCTTGGTGATGGGGACCTTGCACTCAGGGTTTAATGCTCTGTGGCTGCCCCCTTGAAATTCTGCAGTATTTTTTCTCTGACTGTGGGTTTTGTAAGAGAAGCCCCAGGGGACAAAGGAGCAGGCCCCAGGGGACAAAGGAGCAGGCCCCAGGCGCTCAGAGCATCACCTCAGACGTGGCGCCGCCTCCTGCCTCCACGCGGCCTCTGAGCAGTGTTTGCACTAGCCCCTGCACGTGAGGGAGCTGGTTCTGCCTTCAGCCACCCTTGGTCCATCTCTGAGTCACACACCCACTCTGTACTCACTGTGGTGTGACCCGAGGGGAGAGGCGGGCACAAGTAGGAAGGAGGGGGCTCCTGATCTGGGAGGAGGGAGCTGGACATGAAGTGCAACGAGGGCTGTGACAGCTGCCACCAGAGCTGTCGGGAAAGCCCTCCGTGGAGATGCAGAGGAGGTGGGGCGTCATAGCTTCTGAACCAGGCGCTGAGGGGTGGGCGGAGTTTCAGCAGGAGAGGCGATGTAAGCAGTGCCAGGTGACCGTCACCTGGGTTGTAACGCTTATGTGGCTGGTGACCAGGGGGCGGGGCTGGAGCGTGGGGCATGGGAGCCCGATGCTAAAATGACACAAAGGGAGGCTGGGCCCAGAGAAACCCCTCTCCACCCTCGTGTGTCTCTCCTCCTCTTTGAACTTCAGTTTGAGTTTTCCTCATCTAGAAAATCAAGGGGTTGGGATAAACGCCCTCGTCCGTCTAACACCCTTTGGTTCCGCCCGTGAAGCACCCCGACCCACCAGCACTTGTCCCAGCGCATCCTGGTCATGAGCTTCCCGTCAGCACCTGGGCTCTGCCTGGGCCCTCCCCCCGCTGACCATACCTGATCTGTCTCCCACGAGCACGTAGCCTGGGCGTTCTTAGTTTACGGTGGCTGGGCTTTGGGGGGACTTAGTAAACTGTTTTTTTGATAGGCTCTCCATCCCGAATTATTTTATTGCAGCTGTATTCTATGTTGGAAGGGAGAGAGGCTGTAATACTAGTGTAATTCTCGCGTGCTCCACGTTTGGTGTCGTTCAAGCATCATTTTGTTGGGCCCACAAGACTGAAGGAAACGTCACTCTGACGCAGGGTTGTGGGGGAGATTAGCTGTCCTGTGGGAACCATTTTCCAAGGATAATACTATTCCTGGGGCCATCTCTAGGGATGGGCGGTAAAGCTAGAATCCTTCTCTCGGCTTTGACCTTGAGGGAGTCAGAGAGTGGTTCCCATGGAAGGAAGGCTGTCCCCTTATCAGAAAGACAGGCCTGGGGCCAGGAGGAGGAAGCTGGAGGAAGGGGACAGCCACGTTGTTGGCCTTTGGGGACAAGAGAGCAGTCTTCAGACACGATGGGGAAAGAGGCCGCGTCTGCGAGCCCCGGGCGCGAGTCAGCGCGGGCGGGCTCCGGCCTGGGGCTGGGTAAGCAGGGCTGATTTTCCGTTTCTGTGCCACCGTTGTGTATTTCCCTTCTGCGTCCCCCTGGGTGCAGGAGTCTTTCTCGAAATACCGGAGGGGGACCAAGGGAATGACTTTATTTTCCGTGCTTAGAGCTTTAAAGCGGAAACGAGAAAGCCCCGGGGGCAGTGAGGTGGTAGCAGTGGTGATCACAGAATGAGCCTCCAGGCCAGGGCTGTGAAGCACGGGGCGCAGGAGGGGCCCCTCGGGCAGCCGCCCCGCCCCACCGGAACAGCCTCCTTCCCGCGCCAGCCCTCGGAAAACCTGGGCTTTGCTCTGATGAGGGAGAGAGCAGCCGTGAGGGTATGTGGAGATCAGCCCTCCAATTCCGCAAGGACTCAGCAGAAAGCCCGAGTCGAGGTCCTCCTGTGGTAACGGAGCGAGAGTGTGGATGCTCGAGATGCTGTTGAAACGAGACAGCAGGGTGAGAACCAGCGCCACTAACAGGAACATTTTGTAATGAGAACTTAAAATTTTAAAAAATCAAAAAATGAACCAGGAATCTTGCTCTTCAGGGCAAGTCCAGCCCATTAATTTGAGCTGTGTCCCCCCACCTTCTGCAAGCAGGGCATTGGGGGAGGGGGGCTGCCGTCTTATGAAGAAGAGAGTCCTGGGGATCAGTTGGGCGCCTTGGCAAGTATGTCCATCGGAGAGCTTGGGAGAGCACCCTGACACTCAGGTCCTCTCACGGAGTGGGTCGTGGCCCACGTGGCCATTTCCAAGGGCAGGCTGGCCCGGCCAAGGACGAGCCGTCTCTGACGCTGCAGTGTAGAGGCAAGTGACCCAACCCCCAGCCTCCGGGTATCTGTGCCTTTGAGAGACCCCAGGGGCTGCAGTAAGGGAGGCAGGAGAGCTCTGATTCCTGCGACAGTTGCAAGGCTGCTGCTGATATTAACCAGTGTACATAATGCATTTATAATTTTCAGGCTCCATTTCTTGGTAGTCTGCCAAGATGGAGTGGCCTGTGGTCTTTTCAGGCTCAAGTGACGTTGAAAGAAGTGTCGGGACATCGTCCACACACAGCAGGCCGCACAGAGTAGCCATCAGATGCAAAGGCAGCCGGTGCTGTCTGTCCGGGGAAGAGGGCGGGGCTGAGTGCCTGGCGGGGCTGAGTGCCTGGCAGGCCTCTGCACCTGTCTCTCTGGGACCTGGGTCCTCAGGAAAGACCTAACTCTTCTATTCTGTAGTTCTTCCAGTAATGTTCTTGGTTTCTTTGTGACAAAGATTATTTCACCCTCTGTCTGTTACTTACACAACACACACACACACACACACACACACAGACACACACACACACCACCCCGCCTTCCCCTCTCACACAACCAGGATGCTGGAGGAAAGACAGTTAAGCCGAAGGTACTTGGAAGTCTAGGAGGGAAAGGAGGGCTCGTATGAAGCAGTATTTCCCAGAGGAGGGGAAAGAAATAGACAGCCTTGGTCTCTGGACATCACAGAGCAGCTCTGACACTCACCTGGGATGGTGGTACCCTGCTCTCTCTGGGATTTCAGCCTCTCAGGTAGCTGGTCCAGGATGGCATGGACTCAGCAACCCCCGCCTGCTCTTAACCCTTGCGTTTCCTTTTCAGATCTTACAGGTGAACAAGGTGATGTCCATCTTGTTTTATGTGATATTTCTCGCTTATCTCCGTGGCATCCAAGGGAACAGCATGGATCAAAGGAGTTTGCCGGAAGACTCGCTCAATTCCCTGATCATCAAGCTGATCCAGGCCGATATTTTGAAAAACAAGCTCTCCAAGCAGATGGTGGACGTGAAGGAAAGCTACCAGAGCACGCTGCCCAAAGCAGAGGGCCCCCGAGCGCCGGGGCGGGGAGAGCCCGCCAAGTCGGAGTTCCAGCCGGTGGCGGCCGTGGGCCCCGACCTGCTGCGACATCAGAGACGCTACAGCTCCCCCCGGGTCCTGCTGAGCGACAGCACGCCCCTGCAGCCCCCGCCCCTGTACCTCATGGAGGATTACGTGGGCAGCCCCGTGGTGGCCAACCGAACGGCGCGGCGGAAGAGGTACGCGGAGCACAAGAGTCACCGGGGGGAGTACTCCGTGTGTGACAGCGAGAGCCTCTGGGTGACCGACAAGTCGTCAGCCATCGACATCCGGGGACACCAGGTCACGGTGCTGGGGGAGATCAAAACGGGCAACTCCCCCGTCAAACAGTATTTTTACGAGACCAGATGTAAGGAGGCCAGGCCCGTCAAGAACGGTTGCAGGGGAATTGACGATAAACACTGGAACTCTCAGTGCAAAACGTCCCAGACCTACGTCCGGGCGCTGACGTCGGAAAACAACAAACTGGTCGGCTGGCGATGGATACGGATTGACACGTCCTGTGTGTGTGCCTTGTCGAGAAAAATCGGAAGAACATGAATTGGCATCTCTCCTCGTATATAAATTATTACCTTAAATTATATGATATGCATGTGGCATATAAATGTTTCTATTGTTTTTATATATTATAAGTTGACCCTTATTTATTAAACTTCAGCCACCCCACCGTATATAAGCTTTTTTCTCAATAAAATCAGTGTGCTTGCCCTCCCTCAGGCCTCTCCCATCTGTTAAACCTGATTCTGTAAACCCGGCTCCCAGGAGCCGCCCTGTAAAATCTGTGTACACCAGTATTGTCAAGGCCGTGACTGTCGTTTTTAGTAAACTTGTTGAAATCGGCTGATGTTGGAGTGGTGTGTAGACGCAGGGATGGCCCCCCTTCCGGGATGCTTCCCAGTTGATCAGTGAATTCAAAGAACTGCCACCCGCCCCCGTCGCAGGGGTGCCCGGCAGCCGGGAGCCGCAGCCTCAGTTCTGGCCGCAAGCTCGCTGCCCAGAGCCGCCTCGCCTTCGTCCGCTGGCAGTTTTGCCACTGAGAGTTCTGACTTGCTCCGACATTGCCGTCCTGGAACAGTGACAACGAAGCTGGTGGTTGTCGTTTGGAACTTTCTTTCCAGCACATGTTTGGAGATTTGAGATTGTTAAGGGTTGCATTTTTTTTTTTGGCTTTGGTTTTTTGTTTCACTTTTTGTCAGTGGTTTTCATCTTTTTAGGCACATAGGGGGAAAAATGTTAACTATTTGTAACAGAATAATTGTACGGTTACCCAGAAGCAGGAACGAGTCATCTGCACACAGAAGAGAGAAACTGGCTCCTAAGAGCTTCTCCTGGCGCTCGGCCTCCCCTGCCTCCGCGGGCCCTTCCTAGAGTTGCCCGAGGAAGAGCCTGGCGCTCGGAGTCAGACCCGGCTTCTCATTCCAGCCCCTCCCCGTGGCTCTGAGAGGGTTTTGCAGGCTCCCTGAGACTAGGCTTCCGTGAGTCAGATGGGGGTCTTGCCTACCCCACAGGGTGCCCACGGTTCAGCCCAGCACCTGCTCCAGGCATCCGAGCGTAGGACAGGCATTCAAGAACGGTGCTCCTTTATCCCTCTCCTTCCTCTCCCTCTGTATCATTTTTGGTCGATTCATCACTCTGAGATGTAAAAAGCCCATTTGGAAGGAACCTTCCAGGCGCCTTCTGATCCCAGGAGGGGGCAATTGGTGACGCAAGCCAGAGGTGCACTAGTGATGCCCTCTGCGCGATCTTCCCCCTGGAAACAGTTCATCATCTGGGGTCTGGAGCCCGAGGACCCCCATCTCCGGTCTGGTCAGAGGCTCGAGGTACCCACGAGCCCACGACGGTCACTGCATTACTGCCCTGAAACCCTGTCTGGTCACTTTCCTGATGCCCCACCTTCCTCTAAGGCCACTTGCGCCATCTCTGGAGCGGCCTGTGCCCTGAGAGCTTGCTCTGACACATACCTGATAGAATCTGTGTCCTTTACGTGCTCGGCCAATAGCAGTGGCTTTGGTGAGAGCATTGACACTCTGCACTCCGTTCCAAGGGCCCACAACCCCATGGCAAGAAATGAATGTACCATGTGCCCACCAGGTGCCAGGCACTTTCAAACACTGCCACCTGCCCTTAGTTGTCACACATTCTTCAAGGTAGAGATTGTCATCTTCAATGTACAGGTGATGAAACTGGGGCTTGAGGATTTAACATGCCGATGGCCCCAGAGCAGGGGGGTGGCAGAGGGGAGATGTAAATCTAGGCTTGAAGGATGATGTGGTCCTGTCTTCTTATCACTGGTCCCCACCTCCTGCAGCTTTGCATTCAGAATGAACAGCGTGGTCCTAGGGAAATGGAAGCTTCATTCTCTGCACGGAAACCTTTGGAAGCCCAGGCTTCATGAGCTGCATTGAGAACACAGTGAACCCTGCGATGGGATTCTGAGAGTCTTACTTTTTTTTTTTTTTTTGCCAGCCAGTAAACTTTAATGTTAGTTACTAATTTCACACACTACAACAGAAAAATTGCAGCCCCCCCCACCTCCTCCTTATAAGATAAGCCCCTGGGATCTGAGCCCCAGCAGGGTGAGTGTCAACCATGTGGAGGAAGCTGGGATTCTGGAGTAAATGATCACAAAGCAGGAAGGGAAGAGCACAAGTCCGGCTGTCCCCCAGGGGCCGGGAGGCCGGCCTGGGCAGCGGGTCTGTCTGTGCGTGGGACAAGGCTCAGTGCCAAGCCAGAGGTGCTGGTGCACGGACGCCCCCGGGAGGACACCTGCTCTCAGGTTGGAGTTGAGGGGCCCTTCTGTTCCCCCCTGGAACTTCTACTCCAGATGGGCTTAGGGCTCGCCTAGAGGGTCTGGCTGCCTGGGGAGGTGGGCTTGGGCGACAGACCTCAGAGCCTGGCCTGGAAGAAGGCACAGTTCCCAGAGAGCAGGGCTGCGTCCTAGGCCCCACCGTGAATGGAAGGAGTTTCCTGCATGTCCAGAGTGAGTCTGGAATAGCATCCTTCCCCGGTAAGTACCGCTCGGGGGAGAAAGTGAACGTGGAGGTGATGGAAGCAGGCCTGGAAGGAGCTCCGGGCTCCCGGCCGTGTGGCAGCTCTGCCTCTCCCGTGCTGGGGGCACAGTTCCCCTTCCACCACTGTACTGGCATCAAAGGTCACAGAAGGACTGCAAAGCCAACGTGTTCAACTCCGGGGCCAGAGTAGAGCTTCCGACAAGTTCCATCCAACGCATGTGTTTGCCGTGGTCCTGGGGGACAGCCACCTCACCTCTGAGACAGGCGGGCCCTGGAGGGCCGGAGTCCAGCTCCTGGAGACACTCTCACTCTCCCTCCTCTTCCCTGGGTGCCTGGCTTTGGCCGGAGCTGGGTTAAACAGAGACGTGTGTTGCAGTGTGAGGAACTTGTCTGGCTAGAAGGCAGGTCCTGGCCCGGCTTTCTTGCCGGTAGTCGCGTGACCTTGGCTAACTCACCTGTCCCAAAGCGGGCGTTTCAGAATCACGAGCTCCTGCTGCAGAGACGGCCAGCGTCCAGACCTCACGTCCTCCCTTCCTCCATGAACGCCACGGTCAGAAGCCCTGTTGGCCATTGGCCGCCTCTCTGCTCTCTCATCAGCCTCTAAGATACCCCTTCTCCGGGCTGTGTCAGCTTGAACAAGTTACTTAACCCCTCTGAGCCTTGTTTTCCCTGTCTCTAAAATGAGGATGGTGCCTCCTTCATAAGATCGTTTTGCGATGTCACAAGAACATCCCGGTCCTGGCCCACCTGTCCGAAGCCCCCAGAGTGTTACATTAAGTTTGGGGAGATTTTCAGGAGCCCTCACTCTGGGATTCTGGTAGGAATTTCCAAACTTCACAGCAGGAGGACGAGTCCTAATTGAAGAGTCTAAATCATCTTCCTCTAGGGGTGCAGTCCCCTGGGTAGCGTTCACCCCCCTGCCTTCTATGGGTCTCTCGACCCCTTCTCAGCACAACTGCCAGCCACCCACGTGATCTTCTAGAGAGAGTGTGTGGGTGTGGGGGGTGGCGGGTTGGTCCTTCTTGCAAATTTACGGGACATCTTTGTTCTTGTATTGTCCGTCCGTCTGTCTGTCTCAGTAGTGTCTGGCAGTATCTTTTCCGGGTTGGTGACTTAGGATTTGGCATTTTTGAGGATCTTTTGGCTGTTCTTCCCTCCCCCACACAGGCGTGTGTGTGTGTGTACGTGTGCTTTCTAGTTCACTTAGCGTGAAAACCCTCCACTGAGGCTGGGAGAAACCATCCATGTTTATTTTATCACCTCCAAAGATGTGTGCAAGAATGAAGTCTGTGGCGTCCATTCACAGCGACCTGGAGATCTGTCTGTCATCCCCCAGGCTCCGAGCTCAGGTGGCCCCAGGCTGTGCAAAGCCACACAGGCTCCTCCGCCAGGCCCGGCCTTGCCCCACCAGCCACGGCTCTGCACAGCCTCAGCCAGTGGCCTCGGAAGCCTGGCCAGGCGCCAGCTGTCTCGAGCACCCAGCCCACCCCCCACCCCCCACCCCCCTGGCCCCAGGGCCCTGAAAGTGCTCCTTCCAAAACCCAGGAAGAACCACAGCCCCAGGAGATTGATTCTCTCAACTGGAACCTCTTCAGCCCAAACCTCTTCCTCAGAGTCCCCGCCCCCGATCGAAGGAGACCCTGGCTCACACGTGCACCCCCAGTTCTGGTGGGCTGGTGGGTTGCTCACAAGACCCACGTGCTTCATCACAGATTGAAATGCAGGTGCTGCTTGCGTGTTGACTGGAACCCCTGGGTTTCTGTTTGGTTCCAGATGGAGGGTGGCCCTGCTGGACAAGGAGACGCACAGCCAGGTGGGAAGCCCCCTGGAGGGCGGTGGGTTTGTCTCCTTCCATCCTGGGCCTGTATTTGGTTACAGGACAAAAGGCCAAGGAGAGCAGCACAGGTGGGTGGGGGGCGCCCAGGAGGCGGACAGGGAAGGCCCAAACACACCAAAAGCCTCTTCTAGAAGCTGCTTCCGCTGAGGAGTCTGGCGGGGGTACACCGCTGCAGGGTCCAGGAATGCCACTGGGTGCACCGGGACAGAAACCTCTGTGGCAAGAAAAGATGAGCGTTTGTTGGGAAATGGTGCGGCACAGCCTGATGAGTCAGGTGGCTTTTCACGTGGAGATGTAGGGAGGTGCTTGCGCGTGTTTCCACGTGTGTGTGTGTGTGTGTGTGTGTGTGTGTAGTTGTTTTGATTCCCCAGTCATTGATGTAGTGCATTTTTTTCAGGAAAGGTAATGCTTGAAAAGAATGTTCCAGAACACGAGTTTAACCTTTAGGAGACAGAGCTGGTAGCCAGCTGGGGAGCATGTGGAAGATGAACATTCTTGGGGCTAGAAAACAGACCGATGGAGGCTGAGGATTTATAGGCAGAAAAGGCAGCGGGCAGATTCCACCAGCCAAAACAGAAGGGGCTGAGGCTGCGGGCCTTCTGATTGGGTAGGAACGTGCTGGAAGCTGGTGCCGGGGGCAGCAGGTGAAGGGTCAGGTCAGACCAAAGAATAAATAATCATAGTTATCATTTCCTGGCCTCTTCCTCCCCTTCCTCCCCTTCCTCGGAAGCACAGGGTACACTCTGGTCGTTTTAACTCTTTTGTGCCATGGAGGACAGCTGTTAAGAAAACTCACTTCCCTGGGGTCGTACAGCTGGTAAGGGGACGTGCCCATCTGGGCGCCCGGGAGGTCTGGGTGGTCTGGAAGTACTTGCTCCGAAGTGTGTGAGGAATTCGGCAACAGAGAGGATGCTGAGCGCCTCAAGGGACCGTGACGGCTGACTTTCAGTGGGGTGTGGGAGTGAGGAGGGTGGCAGGCACTTGACACAATTA